AGTCATTATCATAGTAGATAAAATAGAGTCCACTGGAGAACTAATCACCAGAGGAATGGAAAAACACGATATGATAAACATGTAGGTTAAAATATTAGACATTCAAAGCAAGTATTGTCATTTGTGGTAACTTGGCTGCACTCAGAGCATTTATGTTATACTAAACCAGCTGGGTAAAAGAAAAAAAACAAAAACAACACTAAGTGATTGTATTTAAATAAGTGTCATGTCCAAAACTGATTCCACAAGAGTAATGATTATTTTTTGGGTCATTAGGGGCTGGAGGCAGAGAATGTTAGGCAGATTCTTTGATCAAGAGATACAATTTCAGGCATCAGGAGTATGGTGGCTGTAGTTACTACCTATGTGAACTAACTTAGTTTAGCCAAATATGTCTAATTCCATTTAGTAAAGATGATAAATGAGTGTCCTCGATAATAGTTAAATCAACACCATGGAAACCAAAGAAATTAAAGGAGCATGAAAAATTTCTAGAGCTACCAGATTGACAGTTGAGACAAAAGGACCAAATTCTTACAGAGGTCTTCATCACCAGAATATGCCTTTGTTTTAAATGATTCAAAAGTGTGATAGAGTAAAATACAATACAAACTTTATACCTGTTAGGATAAAGAAGACACCCTTCATCTCGGATACTCAAGACAGAGGAAGGAAAACTCCCTGAGGTCTTGGAATGCAGCTCCCCTCCCACTGACCAGACCACTGAATCAGGGCAGTGAGGTGAAAGGCTTCAAACATCCAAGGAGAGAAACCATTTCCAATCATTTCAAATTCAGATAAAGTGACTAATGATTGTTGGATATGCTTCACGCATGCTCGCATTACAGCAGGGGAGTAACTAGCCACGATGCAACAGATTTTCTCTACATGGTTCTGCTACTGTACTGTACTTGATAAACTAAAACATGCAATTTCCTCTTGCAATGCTTGCAATGATTCCCCAGCCTCTGAGGATGATTCAGGAAAGATTTCAGGGAGGGTTCAGGGAGACCTACTGTCCTCCCCAGGGAGATCACAGCAGCACAGAGGGAGCGAAATAACTTCCAGGTGTCTAACCTGCAGCATCTCTATGGCTGAGCAGTCCAGCTGATGCTCCAGATCTGAGATGAGGTCTGTCACTGACTCCCTCTGCTTCTCCAGCTCAGTTTCCAAATTTTCCAGGGTGTTAAGAATGTCTTCCCTCTCTTTCATCAGCTTCTGCAGCTCATTCCTCTCCTTGGAGTCCAGGAATTCCCGCAGTCCTTTAAACTCCTTCTGAATGTTTTTTGCCTCACTCTGTATTTGGTTCTTAAGGGATAAGAAAAGGGAAACAAATTTAGACTGCCTAATGGGGCTGGAACAGAAATCCACTGTTCTGATAGGAGTTCTTGCAGGAACTGAGCTTGGGAAGGGAAGGCAGTCTTAGGAAAGCATCTGTCTCATTTCAGTGTCTGTTCATCACATTCCAAAACAAAGATCTTAGGTCACTTTTGCCAAAGTCCCTTGAGCCAAAGTGTGTACATGGGTGCGACTCGGTTTTCACACAGTTGTCCAAACTCTGTTCCTGCCTACAATACCCCTGATTCTACCTCCGAACCCCTGACAGAAGCTAACCCCAAGAATAGAACTGTGACTGTTCTGAAGCTTCTTCCCAACGGTCAGAGTTCCAGAAAGCACCACAGGAGGAGTCCCGGGACTCAGTGCCATTCTCACCAGGCCCCTGCCATGGTGTCAGCTCCTCACACAGCCAGGCTCAGCTGTGATGCCCTCTCTGTGCAGCCCCAGCTCCAAGGGAACAGGCAGAGAGGACTAATCAAGGCCTCTTGTCCCCATCAGCCTCCAGGGAATGAAGAGCCAGGGAGCTTCTTGTCCAGGTCCCTCCCCAGTCATCAGGCTAACTCCCTTAGGAGGTAAGGTCCCCTCTTGCCTCCCAGGAAGTTCTCTCCTTTTGAAGGTCATCTTCCCACTGGTCACATCTTTTCTCATTAGCCATCTGCGTCTCCATGGCAGCCTGGAGCATTCCCTGTGGGAGAGGAAGTGAAGCAGAGTCAAGCTGTGTGCTTAGTAGGACAGCTGCTCCTAGCCAAAGGCCAAGAAACCCTTCTGAAAAGACAGGAGGTCTAAGACTGTTCTCTTTTTAATACATTGTGCCATAATTCGTGCACATAACGTAGATAAATCATCTTCATCTCAATCCATTCCCGTATTTACACACACACACAGCCCCATAGAGACAGACACAGAAATCTCTCTTAGTCAATCACCCCATCAAGGAGACACCTCTCACTTTGATTCTGGCATCAGAAAACTGGGGAAACTGTTAGCTCTTTTGCTCTTTCCTATAAACATATACATCCATCACAAGTCCCACAACTGACACTGCAATTTATTTTTGAACCTGAATCTTATTATGTAGCCCTGGCTGTTCTGGAACTCCTCTGTAGACCTCCATACCCTCAAATTCATCAGCAGTCAGAGTTCTGGAATTGAGTTATGTGACATTACAAGGCCACACAGGCACTCTCGTCAGTGCCGAATACCAATCATTTACAGGCCCCACTGTTGATAGTTACTAGATTGAATTAAATCGTATGAATGAACCTGGCATGAACATTAAAAAAAATCTCCATGAAGAGGAGACTTCCCATATGTTACTGTCTTCTGCTCTGTGTCCCACACCCTTCCACTTCCTACCTTGTACTCATGGGCCACCTCTTCAATGAGAGCTGTTTGGTGACCACGGTGCTCCTGAGATCTCTCACAAAGCCAGCAGATGGCCACCATGTCCTTCTCACAGAAGAGCTGGAGTTTCTCTCCATGTTGTGCACAGACATCCACCTTCTGCTCCTCCTCTGGGCTGGACTTGAACCCCTTGAGCCTCTCCACTATGTTAGCCATTTGCCAATTAGGCCTCAGATTCCCAAACAGGTAACTCACTCGGCACACAGGGCAGATGCCTTCCCCTTCTTTGCCTTTGCTGGATTCATAGTTCACAGTGATGCAGGCTCGGCAGAAGATGTGGTCACAATCGGCACTCACAGGTTCTTTCAGAAGCTCTAGGCAGATAGGACAGGTCACCTCCTCCTTGATCATCCCCAGGACTGATGAGGCCATTGTTGCTGTGATGCTGAGTCTGTCTGTCTGTACTCTTGACACTTCTGCTCAGGTACCTGAGTGACTGGGATGATGAGCCAGGGGACAAGTGAGAAAGAGAAACTCAGCACTGTACCGTGAAGAGATCAATGAATGCCCTGGATGATAAGAGAAAAGAACAAAGGAGAGAAATATGGAGAGAAGTTCAGTGACATGGCAAAGAGAATGTTGTCATACTTTCAAGTCCTCTGCTGTATTTCATCCAAAATGACAAATTTCAGATTCAGGATTGCTATTACCTTTCACTGAAGACCAGGAAGAACGTGTTTCCTTTTATCAGTCTCATGTCCTTCCCTTTCTTTCTCAGGACAAAATCACATCTTCAGTGTTACAAGCATTAAACTACTCACTTCTCCCCCACTGTACTTCCTCTTTCATCAGCACCAGTCATTGTGAGCCTCTGATCCTCTTTTTACCAGTCTCTTGCCAGAGAGCCCAGGGCTAACCTGGAGTGTATACAGTCCATCACCTGATGCACATAGGCAACAATTTTTCTTATTGTATAGAGTGTTTATTACTCTGTAGAAGATCCTAGATCAGTTCCTGGCACTCACATGAAGCGGCTGATAGCTGCCTGCAAATTCAGGAATCCACCAGCTGTGACCACCCAGACCATCCTTTCAAATGTGTACACACACAGGGAGACCCACAAATACACAATTCAAAGCAAAATGAAATGTTGTTTATATTTTTTATGTTTTTTCTTTTTCTTTTCTATTCTTTTCTTTTTTTTTTTTAGTCCAGTAGTGTTTGGATTTTACCCATTTCTATTAATCTGTTTATCAGCACATGGCTGTGGCTTACTGGCTAAACTTTGAGCATGTCTGTCTCCAGCAGCCATTTCATGGCTTCTGTCTGACTCTTCCTCCTTTTCCCCACCATTCTCTTTAGTTTTTTCCATGTAGCTTTGTTTTCCTAAAGCTTTGCTATAGGCCCAAAGCAGTTCCTTATTCATTTATCTTTGAAAGCAACACATAGAGAGAAGGACCTCCCACACCACTCAAGTTCAAATGAATCAAAGACCTCAACATAAAGCCAGCCACGTTGAGCCTAGTAGAGAAAGTGGGAAGTATACTTGAATGCACTGGCACAGAGAACCACTTCCTAACTAGAACCCCAGCAGCTCAGGCACTGAGAGAAACAATTAATAAATGGGACCTCCTGAAACTGAAAAGCTTCTGTAAAACAAAGGACACAGTCAACAAGACAAAGCGACAGAATGGGAAAAGATCTTCACCAACCCCACATTAGACAGAGGTCTGATCTCCAAAATATACAAAGAACTCAAGAAATTTGTCATTAAAAAAACAAATAATTCAATAAAAAAAGTGGATACAGACCTAAACAGAGAACTCTCAACAGAGGAATCTAAAATGGCTGAAAGACACTTGAGGAAATGTTCACCATCCTTAGTCATGAGAGAAATGCAAATCAAAACAATTCTGAGATTCCATCTTATACCTGTAAGAATGGCCAAGATCAAAAACCCTGATGACAACTTATGCTGGAGAGGTTGTAGGGAAAAGGGAACACTTCTCCATTGCTGGTGGGAATACAAGCTGGTACAGCTCCTTTGGTATCAGTATGGCAAGTTCTTAGAAAATTAGGAAACAACTTTCCTCAAGACCCAGCAATACCACTTTTGGGTATATATCCAAAGGATGCTCAATTTTGCCACAAGAACATGGGCTCAACTATGTTTTAAGCAGCATTGTTTGTCATAACCAGAACCAGGAAACAACCTAAATGTCCCTCGACTGAAGAATGGACATGGAAAGTGTGGTACATTTACACAATGGAGTACTACACAGCAGAAAAAAATAATGACATCTTGAAATTTGCAGGCAAATAGGAAGATCTAAAACACATCACATTGAGTGAGGTAACCCGGACACAGAAATACAACAATTATCATATGTACTCACTCATAAGTGGTTTTTAAACATAAAGCAAAGAAAATCAGCCTATAAATCACAATCCCAGAGACCTAGCCAACAATGATGACCCTAAGAGAGACATAAATACATCTATTCTATATGGGAAGTAGAAAAAGACAAGATCTCCTGAGTAAATTGGGAGCATGGTGACCATGGGAGAGAGTTAAAGGGGAGGGGAGAGGCAGAGAAAAGAGTAGAGAAAAATGTAGAGCTCAATAAAATCAATAAAAATAGTATCTGGAACAACTAAATGTGTACTCTCTAGAATTCGACAAATTTTAAACCTGGAGAACTCTAATGTGTGCACTGTAATATCCCATAACATATGGCAGTAAAGAGAGTCGATGCCTAAGATCAGGTGGGAGGGCTCCACAACTGATGAAGAGCAGGGGAGGGCAAAGGGAAAGAGGATGGGCTCATGACAGTCCTCCAAGTCAGCCTGGACACAGAGGGCCTGGCCCGTGTCCTCTGCTGTCTGCATTAGCTTGGGTGGAGCTGGATTCCCAGTCCTTTCTTGGCTGTGAAAATCTTCCCAACAGCAGACACCTTTCAGCCTTTACAGCATTAAAATCAGTCAGGAGCTTGTGCTCTCCCTGGAAAAGTAGAAAAGTCCTGGGGCTGCAGTGTTCACCTGTAACCCCAGGTGTACAGCCCTCTACAAACTGAGAGTCAGCTCTGCTAACCAAGGATCAGCTTTTAGATACTCCGTCCCCCTGCCCGACCATTTCTGTCCAGAAATTGATGCGAGCTGAGTTAACTTTTAAATGAAGGGATGTATATGACTTTTGACTTTTTGGTTTTACGTTGTCCCACATTCTTCCCTGTTCTGTGAAACTGGCAGTGTCAGGGGAGGTGCCGAGCCTTGATAAACTGTTAGCGAGTGTCAGTGAAAAACATGGAACTGAGTACAAACACTAGTTTAACTAAAAAACTCTGCTGATAGAAATTGCAGAGAAGGGCAATTTGTATCTGAGTTTTACCTTGAGATTGTACAAATTCCTTTGTTATTGCCTAATGCTTGCTATAAAAGGAGGAGTTCAAAAACCGGCCTTTATTACAGCCTTACAAAATCCATTTCTGGCTGTGGTCTCAGCTAGCTGATCAACTTTCTGTGCCCCATAGTGATTTTTCATTTTATTTTTTTTTACTGTTTCCTGGAATCTGGTTTCTGGAATAAAGTTTGCTTCTGGTTTATTAGACTTGATGATCTGTCCCCATCTTTGTGTGACCCCCGTGGACCCAGCACTATATTAAGGTATCATGTCCCAAAGGAAAAGAAAGGCTGTGATTTCAGTAAGAGTGGAATTCCAGTGTTCTCACACAATCTTTTTCTTCTCCTGTCAACTTATTCTTTGTCTGTTTCCTTGGGATCGATCCTGGGCCTAGCATAAACTTGAAAGTGCCTGCCAACTCACTAATTGCAACAACACCACTGGGCCTTCCCTTCTTCCTTCCTTCCTTCCTTCCTTCCTTCCTTCCTTCCTTCCTTCCTTCCTCCCTCCCTCCCTCCCTCTCTCCTTCCCTCTCTTCTTTATTTCCTTTTATACTTGGTCTTTTGGGTCCCAAGGGATGCCTTGGACTTTGGAACTTACTGCATTAGATTTCTGTGTTGCTAGAATTACTAGCTTGGGCTGAATTTCATTTAGGCATGGCAGGCAAGGACCAAGGGATAGGCAGGCAAGGGTAATGACCCTTATGTAACATTAGCAATTCTCTACACACTTGAGACTTTTTCACAGTACAAGTGAATGTACAAGAGGCTCCAGAAAGATTGGAACTTCTAATATAGACACATAAGCAAAGGGAATGATACTATAGAACCTTCGGCAAATACACTATTACACAGCAAGACCTTCAACTTCGTATTCAGACACCACTCTGGCTTTAATCCTATCTTGCAGCAGAGGTTTCCTGAGAGACTCAATAGTAATCACTACAAAGAAGAGAGTGAACTCCATCTGGAGAAACAACTAAACATCTGTGCTATTTGAAAGCTTTCTTCCTCTAGGCTTCTCCTCTTACTTGCTCCTCATCACCCTCCCCACCCCAGGACTCAGCGGGGAACCAACAGTTCCTCTTTTCTGGCCCTTTTCAGTTTAAAATTAAACTCACCAGAATGAAGAGCGTTTTCTTCTCAATTCTTCCAAATTCTGCTCTCTAGATTTGCTCTCAGGCCTGCAGAGAGCAACCAAGAGATCTTGAATCTGTGGAGGGGAGCAAATGGAGGCCACCGTTTCTTAAGGATTTGTTCCCTAAGTCTGATCTCTGCCGAGCAAGAAGAGAAATGAAAGTTAAGATTTTGAGGGTTGAAACTGAGAAAGAGAAACTAAATAACTACCAGCCAATGGGATGCTAGTACATTGGTATCTGGGGTTCTACCATCAGAGAAAGTCAGTTTGCCTATGTCAGCTCTGCCTTCCCTGAGCTTAGGACATAGTACTATAGGAAATTGTCATGTCATTTGTTGGGGCTCATGTTACAATCATCTAAAAAAGGTCTTATCCCCAGGAAAGCTGCCCCTGAAGAAAAGAAAGCCTTTGCAATGCCCTCTTGCTGCCCTTGAGCTCCTGGCTGGGTTTTGCTTTGTGTGGCAGGTGTTGCCCAAAGGGAAGGAAAGACCAGGTGAGGGACAGAGCACTGCAGTGTTCCTCTGGACTTGTGTAAGTGGAGACTGCTCATTTTCTTCCCAGCCACCCAGACCCATATAATCACACACAATCTATATTAATTATATTAAATATATTAATTATAACACTGTCTGGCCAATAGCTTAGACATATTCCTAGCTAGCTCTTACATCTTAAATCAACCCACTTCTTTAATTTGTGAATCACTGCAAGGTTGTGGCCTATTGGCATTGTTTGGCATCTTTCTCCATCGGCAGCTACAAGGTATCTCCACGACTAAGCCTACTCGCTCTCTCTGTATCTCTATTTGGATTTCCCACCTGGCTTTATTCTGATAAGCCTTTGGCTGAACAAGATTTATTTTTAACCAATGGTTAATGGTAAAACATATTCACAGCATACAGAGGGGAATCTCACATCATTTTCCCTTTTCTGTATAAATAAAAAGGAAGGTTTTAGCTTTAACATAGTAAAATTACATATAAGCAAACAGTTATCAAGCAAGAATTACACTTACAATATTTAGTCTATTTGTATCTTGCAAGTTTCATATCTAATTAATCTTTTATCATATAAGAAAAATTATAGCTGTAACTATCTGTCTTCAACTGCACCAAAGACTCCAGAAGGATATAATATTTCCTAAGAAAATAAGAAGTGCTTTGTAAGAAGCTTTCAAAACTCTAGAATTGACAGAGACATCTTGCTGCCTGGACAGTCACCTAAAGGTTTTCTGTAACATTCGGGCATCTATCTTTAGCGTACAGGCCCATAATAGCCTACAGATTTTTGCATGAAGTAGGAAATTTGAAAGACTGTTTCACCTATATTGACAATTTTTCAGTCACATTCTTCTGTGTCCTGCAGAGTGTCTGACAGACTCTTTCATGAAGTAGGAACCCTGAGAGGGTTTCTCATCTTCTTTAGATAAGTCCATCGGTCATTTTTCTGCTTGTCTAGTTTATATAATGTTCTGTCAAGCAGTTGAAGCAAGAGAAGTTTCTTGATCAAATGGCTAATCTTGCCACAACAACAGAAAACATCACAAGGAGTTTCTTCATTGCCCATAATCTCTGAAGTAAATTGGTGCTGCCAGAAGCAGATGGATTTCATTATCAAGAAATACATTGAAGTTCTAAAAATATTTTAAATGCCATGTTCTGTAGGTCTTTGAAAGTTTTAAAGAATACCTATTCATCTGAGATATATCTACGTACATTTAGAAAGCATAATTAACATGACTTCCTGCTGCCCGGCTCCTGACCACCTGGCTGGCTTATACCCCAAAATAACAGCACACAAATTGTATTCATTTAAACACTGCCTGGTCCTTTAGTTCTAGGCTCTTCTTGGATAATTCTTACATCTTTTTTTTTTTAATTCTTACATCTTGATTCAACCCATTTCTGATAATTTGTGTTCACTCCGAGATTGTGACTTACTGGGAAAGATTTAGCATGTCTGACCTGGGAGCTGGCTCCATGGCAGCTCTCCCTGCCTGTCTTCTTCCCAACATCCTGTTCTGTCTACTCCGTCTACCTATTTTCTACCCTATCAAAAGGCCAAGGCAGTCTCTTTATTTAACCAATGAAAGTAACACATAGACAGAAGACCCTCCTAAACCATTTCCCCTTTTTCTGTTTAAACAAAAAAAGGCTTTCACTTTAACATAGCAAAATTACATATAATAAAATAGTTATCAAACAAAAATTACAGTTACAATATTTAGATCTATTTTATCTTTATCATAACAATGGAAAACTGTAACTATATATTCTTCAATTCTATCAAAGACTCCAGAAGGATATAAAATTACCTAAGTAAACAAGAAATAAACAACTTCTAAAACCCTAGAAATGACAGAGACATCTCGCTGCCTGTACCATCACCCAAAGTTCTTTTGTACCATTGGGGCATCCATCTTCAGCCTATAGGCCCGTTGTATCCAGCAGACATTTCCATGAAGCAGGAAATTTCAAAGACAGTTTAGTCACTTTCTTCTGTATCCTGCATAATGTTTCACAGACTCTTTCATAAATCAGGAACCCCAAAGGGCCATCTCACCTTTGGGCAAGTTCAGCAGTCCTCTCTCTGCGGGTTCTTTGTGTCCGGTTTATGCATCAGTCCAGGCAAGAGCAGTTTCTTGCCCAAATGACTAGCAAACTCCATAAGGAGTCTCTTCAATGCCCATCTTCCTCTTGCAGTAGATTGGTGCTGCCCGGAGCAGATGTGTCTCATTGCTGGGCCAGTGTTCCATCCCTGAGCTAAACCCCTTGCTCAAACTTCACATCTTGATGAGGTCAAGAGACTGAGCTATTGTTCTTCCTGTGGACACAGTGGCTGTCAATCAACACTATATTCTGATTATAATTATATATATATATATTATGATTATAATCAATATTATAATCTGATTCTTTTGAATTGTTAATGATTATATAAAATTCTTTACAACTTTTTCATTGGTCTTGTGTTGGAGGCAAGGTTTTATTTCACATTCCAGACTGGGTTGGAGCTCGCTCGTGTCCAGGGTGGTCTCCAGCTGCTGGCCGTACTCCTCCCTCAATCTAGCAAGTACAGGTGTTAAATGGATGAGCCACCATCTTTGTCTTTTATAGCTTTGAACCAGTGCCTTTTCTGTTTCTTCCCAAGGCCTTCATGGGACTCAAAATAACAAAATGCTTAGACAGCCATCTACCTCTTTGTGAACTTTCTCTGCAGCCACAATTTCATTCCAATTCTGTGCAAAGATTTGACTTTGTGGTCAGCTCTACTACCAGCCTCGAAACTCAGTGACAAGAATGAAGGCGGCCAGGAAAGCACAGCACTGGCCACGCTGCTGAGCAGTGCCGTAATGTGTGTGAGTCTAATTGTGTCAATACACACTGGCGTTTATTTCACCACAGGGAAGGTTTCCCCATGAAACACAATTAAGGAAGAAATATTAACCAAACAGAACATCGGAGAGATATGTAGATACAACATTTTTTCTTGATTGAATTTATAATTTAAAATTTGAATAAGATTATCTGTTATTTTTTGGTTTTTCAAGACAGAGTTTCTCTGTAGCTGTCGAGCCTGTACTGGAACTAGCACTTGTAAAGGAGGCTGCCCTTGAAATCACCAAGATCTGCCTAACTCTGCCGCCCTAGTGCTGGGATTAAAGGTGTGTGCCACCACTGCCCTGATATTTTATAATACAGGTATTGTAATTCTTCAAACAAAGCATGGTAATGTTTTGAGTGGTTGATGCATACTCTGCCAGCATGTAGTGCTAGAACCTCCAATCTAAACACTGCCGTGTAACTCCCTCTCTGCTGTCACCGATAGAGACACGATGGAGCTGCACTGGAAATGAGTTCCCAGGAGCTGCCTTGCTGGTGCCACACTAACCTAAGTGAGTTCCCATGACAGGGCATCCTATGTTGTGTCACATGTCTGTCCTGCTCCTGCCTAGAACTCAGAGAGCCTGGCTGCAGGCATCTGCTGTGAACCTACCCCTCCATCCTACAAAGTCTGGATCTTGTTATTCAGCCACGGGGACCCTGATGCTCTCCAGAGTTCTCTCCATTCAGTCTTCTCTGGTAGTGTGCCCTGAACTCTCATGGGAGCACTCACCATGGTGGGTTCTCTCTCTCTCTCTCTCTTTCTCTCTCTCTCTCTCTCTCTCTCTCTCTCTCTCTCTCTCCATCTCCCCCTCTTCCACCCGTCTCTCAATTTATGACAATCTGACTGCAAATAAACTCATTATTGCCCACCAATTCTCCACTGTGTCCCCTTGAACCAACTACCTCATCCAAAACCTGGAACATTCCTCTTTAAAGGCAAGACAAAATGCAGCAGGGTCGGACTCTGTCACTGAGCCTGGCTCAGATGCACAACAACCTCCTGTCTCTGCCTCCTGAGTGCTGGGACTGCATCAAAACCATTATGCCAGGCTCTGGTACTCAGTCTCAACAATCCTTTATTACAGGCACGGTGAGAAGGAGACACACAGACGCCATGCTGAATACCACTGACATGCCGGAAGTTCCTAGAAGCATTCTATTGCTCACATTTCACAACACAGCACAAGGGAAGTTTACCACATCACGGGCATCACCGTCATTCATTGTAAAATGGAAATCATAGGATTTACATATTTGATAAGAAACAAATGTAGCACCACTACAATTATCCTGTCAAAAAATAAATGTGAAAAGCAAGATATAATCATTGATATCTACAGCATATTAGAGTAAATTTGATGGCAGATCCCAGGATCTATCATCACGACACCAGGAACGAGAAATCTTCATGTGTCCCTTCTCCTGACTTTTGCATGGAATCAGACCTTAAACTCAGTAATTATCAGAACAACCATCTATGGAGTGTTCACTGGATGCTTTGTATGCATTGAACTTCCTTTTAAAACACTTACATAACTCATTTTAGATTTGTGAATGTGTCTAGGTCTGCATGTACTGCACATGTGTCAATACAGAGGATAATCTGTAGGTCAGAGTTGGCTGCCTCCTTTTACCATGTGGGTTAAGTGATGGAACTCAGGTCACTGGGCTTGGAGGACGATGCTTTTACCCTCAGAGCCTTCTAACACATCCAGATTTATTTTCTCACACTGACTTATAGTATGTATGTACTCTTTATAGAAAAAATTAAAATAAACAATGAATAATAACAAAAAGCAAACAAAACCAAAAATCCTATAAAGCATAGGCTTTTGAGGATGTTATTCAGAGTTACACTTCTATGTGGAGTAGATTAGAAGCCAGGTACTCTGAACACACAGAGTTAGTGTGTTGACTGAAGTTTTTTTTTTCCCACTTGGTCCTGCAGCCATTAAGTCCCAAAGAATCACACAAATGTCTCCATTAGTTATAAACTGATTGGCCCATTAGCTCAGGCTTCTTATTAACTAATTCTTATAACTTACATTAGCCCATAATTTTTGTCTGAGTTAGCCACGTGACTTGGTGACTTTTTTGGCGAGGCAGTCACATTTTGCTTCTTCTGATCTGGGTCATGACTGCAGACTGCACTTCCCTCTTCCCATCATTCTCGTTGCCCTGCCTCTACTTCCTGCCTGGCTACTGGCCAATCAGCATTTATTAAACAAGTATACGAAACAAATCTTTACAGGGTAAAACCATTGTCCCACAGCATTAGTGTTTATTATTAGAGATATTTCCTTCTTAAGTTTTGATGAAGCACAGCATTGTGGTTAAACTGACATGCAACTAAGGGTTCATTCCTTTGCTAAAGAGACACCTACATGTACTTTTCAAAAGTAATAGAAGAGCTGGATAGGAACTTTATAGTTGGAAGCTGCTTGTTTGTTGCTGGTTGCCCAGACCAAATTTACCACACAGAAGCTATAGTAATTATAACATTGCTTGGTGTATTAGCTCAGGCTTGTTATTAACTAACTCTTACATTTTAAATTAACCCATTTCTATTACTCTGTGTATCACCATGAGGTTGTGGCTTACTGGGTAAGGTTCAGGGTATCTCTCTCCTTTGGCAGCTACATGGCGTCTCTCTGACTTCACTTACTCTCTGTCTCTCTTTCTCTGTCTGTCTGTCTGTCTGTCTGTCTGTCTGTCTGTCTGTCTCTCTCTCTCTCTCTCTCTCTCTCTCTCTCTCTCTCTCTATATATATATATATATATATATATATATATCTGGTCTATCCTGGCTGGCTATATTCTGCCCTGCCATATGCCAAATCCTCTCTATTCACTAGTCAATATAAGCAAGACATACATCCCATATCATGACTTTCTGTCATCTTCTGTCAGTGACAGAGGAATGGGGTTGTGGAGACTTGGCAGAGCTGAGACAAGTGGCTCAGGGGCAGAGCACCTTCTCAGCATGCACAAGGCCCTGGCTTCCATCTGTGGCAACACAAAACAGGAAGTGCGGGTTAGCAGAGGTCTTACCTCACCTTGTGAGGAAGAGACATTGTTTTGGGGAATTTGGAAAATGATGAATTATTATTGCCTTGTAAACAGACAAGCAATTGGATCAAGGAAATGAATCTGTACTGGTTTGCATTGAGAAGGGAAGGTTATTAAAATACAAAGACCAAATGGGAGTGCAAGTACTCATTTACTAGGCCAAGGTCACCTGATATGGCTGTAAGGAACGGAAACAGTCTCAGGTTGAGGGACCACAGCAAGATGGAGGCTGTGAAAATTTTATTGAGAACAATCAGACTTTTATACCTTTATCAGAAACAGATCATAGTGGCAACTGCCAGGATCAATGCAGTTTGCTTGTCAGAAAACAATGAAGTTTACAAGTTATACAGGGTACCCAAGATTAATGTCTAATACCTATTGTCCTGTCAAATTTCCATGCTTCCTTGACTACTAGGGGGAACAAACAGAGAATGCAATATAGCCTTAATGTTTCACTGCCTGAGTGAGTGCACTCATCTCTTGGGAACTGAAGAGCTGTTCCCAAGTGTACCCCAGGAGCCACAGACTCTAACATGAAAAACCCATGACTCATGCCTCTCAAGGCAGCTAGGCCAAGGCAGTTTGATGGTTCCCTGCAAGCAAAGACAGAAAAAGAAGTTAAAATGATCCCACAGAGCTCAGACATGTGAGATACATCAGGCCTGGGGACACTATGCAGATATGGGTGAGGGCTTAGGAGGGCGGCCCACAGACTGTCAATGGCTCTGAACATTCCATAGGATTAAAATATGGATAAACGGCATTAGGGAAGTTTGGTTCACAGAATCTATAGATGAGAGCTCCATGGTTGGAAACATCATAAAATGAGAGAGTGCAAGCTTCACGGTCCAGGAAAACTCCAACACGAGTGGGAGGACAAGTCAGAGAGAGGAGCAAGACACTGGCATTGTGGGTGACAGAACACTCTTCAAAGGCATTATATACAGACCTGTTTCTCATTCCTATAACCCAGTAGCCATATTTGCGCTGATAATTTACATGCTGTTTATTATCAGAATTACCTATAGCTTCATACTCAGACTGTTTATCAACAAAATATGATTTGGATCCAAAGCTAACAGCATATTTTTTCTTATAATTTACATCTTGGTTAACAACAGAATTATATTTGTCTTTGAAGCTCTGTTGATTCATTGAAGGAAGCTGGGGTTGAGCACATCTTCCATCATTTATTCCCAGGAGCCAGGCATCACATCCAGACACATCTACTTCCCAGTAATGTTTCCCTGAGCGCATTACTGGATACCCCAGGACACCTAAATCATAGGACTCAGAAACTTCCAAATTTCTTCTATAACCACTTCTATGTTGTATTTGTCTTTTGTTCCTGTTAATGACAATGTTTTTATTGTTGTGTTGAGGCAGGGTCACGTCAACTGCAGAAAAATGAGACATATAAATTAAAAGTCACATGAAAAACAAGGTACTCCCTTATTGGTGATATAAGGAGCTGAAGCCTAAGCAGAAAGTGAGGAGGAACATGGAGGAGCTGAGTTAAAGTCAAAGAGAGGCAGATGCTGTGCATATTGTGAGCAGTAACATAAAACTGCTCAGTATTAGGAGAGAAATAAACTCTGAAAAAGACATTAAGACGAGAGAGACTGATGGTGTTATTTCTCCTTACCCCAGTGGCGCTGGGCATCCAGAAGCCCTGAAATGATGAAAATGCACAGCATTAAATGCAAGCAAGGGAATCAGAACATTAAAGTCAATGTGATCTGCAGAGTGGGGAAAGGTCTGGTAATTGGGATATAGGATAGGATGAATGATGAAGTCCATTATATATGATGACATCACTGGGACACACTTTCTGCTCTTCTCAGTTTCTCTACCCATGATCAGAGACATCCCTCTCTATCCAGAGAGTGCAGCCCCAGCCACCCCGAGAGTCCCCCAGGTAACCACAGAACATAGCTGCTCTCACCTTGAAACACTTGCAGCATGCCTTTCAGATCTGGAGCTCGGAAGATCTTTCTCTGTTTACTTGGGACCATTTTGGGCTGTTTCAGTCTTAAGTTCTGACTCCTAGGGACAAAAGATTGACTTCCACAACTCAGACAGTGTGACCTCTGACCACCACGGACTCCCTCTCATTCTAACCATGGAGGTCATGGAGCTCTCCTGAGAATTCTGAGCAGGGGGAGAGCGGGTAGACTATTAACCCTGCAGACACACTCATGACCCCTCCTGCTTACTTGCTATGTGATGTTGGGAAAGTCTTCCTTATCTGGAGCAGAGCTCCTCACTTCTACAACCAAATTCTTGCTCCCTGAGTTTGTATCCTTCCCTCCTAGACTCCTAAGAAATGATGAATTAGCGAATTTCAAAACAAATCAAACTTAGGTGGCTAAAAAATCATATGTGGTCTGGGCATGGAGTAAGAAGCCTTTAATCTTTTTCCTCGGGTTGCAGAGACAGGTAGATCTCTGACATCAAAGCTAGTCTGGTCTATAGAGTGAGTTCCATGTTTGCTAAGTCTACACAGAGAAACCCTGCCGGAAAAACAGCAGCAGCAACAACAAAAAGACCAACAACCAAAGAGACAGAGAGACACAAAGAAAGAAACAAATACATAAATGAATAGATAAGTAAGTAAATTTGTGTTTTCCAGGACAAACTAAAGTCAGGGTACAGAAGCTGCTCCTGGGTAATAGAGTCATGGAGTGTGGAGAACCCACTGGCGCAAGCCAGTACTTCAAACACTTTTGTCAATCTGGACACTCTTGGCCAGCTTCTGACTCTTCAGGTTCCTTTTAAAGAGATGACAGTTTTTGAAAAGAAGACTGAAATACCAAACTAATGCTGACACTGAATATCCAGATCTCAGCACGAGGCAGCCCCAGTAGTCAGTAAAATATATCTGCCTGCCCCTTACCTGTCCTTAGTTGAAGTCTGACCTTAGAGCCTGGCCTCAGTCCCAGCCATAGGGAGAAGCCAATCAGAGTCCAGCAACACCTGACCCCACAGGGCAAGGACAATCAGAAATAGACGAACAAAACCAGATGCCCTCATGCTGAGAATCAATGCTGCAACTTCTTATGGCTTGAGCCAACCCCAAGTGTGTAACTATGCCATTTTGGAGGGCTTGAGTCTGCAGCTATGCAGTGCAGGTTTGGAATTATCCAAGCCCTCCTCATTTTGCCTGGCCACCATACCCCGTCCCCTTTTTCTTTTGCATCAGATTTTGACTCTTGGTGGTATTTTGGAGATCAGGACTTTGGGTCCAAGAACATGATCCTGCTGCCGACAGCCTGAGTGTGATCTGTACACACAAGGGCAGAGCTTTCCAGTCTTCTGAGGTGTGTGGTTCACACGGAGCAGTTGTGCTCACTTTTCTATCCCCATGAGAAATACACAGATGCACAGGGATTTTTCCCAGTATACAATTCTGTGAGCACTGCAGACAAGGAAGACATACCCTATCTAGGATGAATCTGTGAATCAAGTACCTGTGAGCTGTAGACAGAGCCAGACACAAGCACAGAGCATGGACAGAAAGATGGAACCACAAGGAGTCTGAAAACTCCTGTGGCTCCTTTTGCCTCTTCCCACTGCTGAGCCTAACTCTGTGACTCCCCTTACCCTGATGCCTAAAAGAGAATCAACTCTGTCCCCAGTAGTTACAAAAACAGAGGCTGCCTTTCCCTGCATCCTCCTCCTCCTCCTTACTGGAACTTCAGAATAACATTTGTCTAAATTCCTGCAAACCTATGAGACATATATTCCAGCTGAATACTAAATAATTCTCAACAGACAATAGGACTGTTCATCCCTGTCAGCCCAAACATACCTTATTAAAACCCAATTCACACCCTAGGGGAAAAGAAAAAAAAACATAGTTAATAGCATGCACTGAATGTTCTTGTAAATCCTGGTCACAGGCTCACTGGGTACAGAGACAAAATCAAAAGAGAATTAAGCCCGTCACCCACAGTTCTCTAAGACATGATATGCACACGATGCATGGCTCTTTACTTGACTTATATGTGAACTAATAGATTATTTTCTGTACTATAAGACTTGGGAGAACAAAGATGAATAAATGATCATTTGAAAGCTTACATAGGATTTACTGTGTGTACAGCTAAACACATGAACAATGGTTCTATTCATGCTCCACGTTAGCTCTCCATCACTTAACTTAAAACTAACATGTCTGAGAAGCTGATTTCTACATTATTTTTGTCATTTAGTCACAATTTAATGTGTTCAGAATGAAGAAGATTGTCTGATCCTTAAATCCAACTAACCACATCTCTTGGTCTCTTTTTCTTCTCTTTCTGGTGTGGGATTCCCCTCTGTATGCTGTGAATATGTTTTATTACCATTAGTTAAAAAAAGAAACTGCTTTGGGACTATGGCAGTGTAGAATAGGGCAAGGCCGGAATTCTAAGCAGAGAAAGAGGAAAAAAGAAGGTGGAGTCAGGGAAATGCCATGTAGCTGCCAAAGGAGACAGCTGCCCCTGAACCATACTGGTAAACCACGAGTCTTATGGTAATATATAAAACAATAGGAATTGGTTAATTTAAGATGTAAGAGTTAGTTAATAAGAAGCCTAAGCTGTTGACCAAGCAGTGCTGTAATTAATACAGTTTCTGTGTGATTATTTCAGGTCTTTGCAACTGGGAAACAAACAAGCAGTCTCTGACTATATCTCTCTGTAATTGTCCTGGCCTGAAAAGAAATTAATCTAAAGAGACATATGTGTCTCTCAGTTTGATAGAAGTTTGAAACAATGACCCCTTCTAAAATGGGAATTTCTTCAAGAATCTCACTGGGAGAAGGAAAACAACTCTTGCCGGAGGGAGAGCTGTCCTCCTAAAAAGATTTCAAACAGTTTTAATTACTCGCCAGACCACCTTAAAGTATGTGTATGCAACCCGATAATGATGGGAGAATGATATACAGGACCACATCTAGTCCTGGACTGCTCATATATGCATATATTTTGGCCAGTTACCATTTGCTCTTTGGGTGTGGTTAAACTATCTAAGATCATCCACCTTCCAAAGTTGAATTTGGTGTGGTTTAGACTTGCACAGGACTGGGGTCCCTGTGCCTTTAAATTTAAAGTATAGTGTATATTTTCCATTTTAAGCTGGGCATTTCTGTAGTTTCTTACTGTCTCCACCTTGGGCAGTTGTGGGTTTTACTTTGTAAAACCTGTTGGTCTGTAACTCATCGTATACACCAGACTGGCTTTGAACCCATGTAGCTTCTTTTGCTTCTGCATTCCCACTACTGGGATCAAAGATGTGAGCCAGCACACCTGGAGGTAGGTTTGGAAGTTTATACTTAATTTTTATTGTGTGCATCTCATGTTTTGTTTCTGTGTATGATGAGAAGCTCTCAAGTTCTTGGATCACAGGCCGTTGATGCTTGGCTACACATAACTTTATTTATATAACATAAACCAAAAAAGCAGATTTCATAGAAAAAAAATCCAGGGAGAACTTATCATTATAGTTATAGATGAATTCTGATGTTCAAACTTGTCCTCATAGAGACATCTGTATGCTCATGTCCACTGAGTCATTATCATGGAAGATAAAATTGAGTCAACTGGAGAACTAATCACCAGATAAAAATGGATAAAATGATATGATAAGTGTATAATGTTAAAATATTAGACATTCAAAGCAAGAAGTATTGTCATTTGTGGTAACTTGATGAACTCAGAAAATTTATGTTGTACTATACCAGCTGGGCACAGGACAAGACAGCAGTAAGTGATATAATTATACATGTGTCATGTACAAAAATGGACCTCATAATAGTAAGGATTAGAATTTGGGTCATCAGGGGTTGAAGAAAGAGAAAGGTTGGCGATTCTTTAGTTAAGAGATGTAATTTCAGACATGTAGACTATGGTGACTGTAGTTACTACCTACGTTAACTAGCTTAGTTTAGCCAAATATGTCTAGTTTCATCTAAATATAGGTGATAACTGAGTGATATCAATAATAATTAAATCAACACAATGGAAACCAACGAATTAAAGACATATGATAAATTACCAGAACTACTAAGGTCTATAAAATTTACAACTGAGATGAAAGAAAGAAATTCTTACAGAGATATTCATTACCAGAATATGCTTTTGGTTTAAAGTATTTAAAAATGCCATAGCGATAAAATACAATACAAACTTTATATCTGCAAGGATAGAGAAGACACCTTTCAGCTCAGCAATCAAAGACAAAAGAGGGAAACTCTCTGAGATCTTGGGTGGCAAGTCCCCTCCCAATGACCACACCACTGAATCAGAGGCAGTGGGGGTGAAACTCTCCAAACATCCAAGGGAAGAGACCACTGCCACTAACATTAAATTCATATGAAATGACAAATGACTGTTGAATATGCTTCACACACGCTCACATTGCGGTAGGATAGTAACTACCCATGATGTGACAGATCTCTCTAACGTTCTGCTACTGTACTGTATTTAAAAACTAAAACATGCAATTTCCCCTTGCATTCCATGCAGGCAATATTCTCCAGTCTCTGAGATTGATGCAAGAAAGAGATCAGGGAGAGCCCAGAGAGCCCTACTGTCCTCACCAGAGAGATCACAGCAGCACAGAGGGAGGGAAATGACTTGCAGGTGTCCTGGCTCTCAGATGCTGGACCTCCTGCGTTCTTACCTGCAGCATCTCCATGGTTGAGCACTCCAACCGATGCTCCAAATCTGAGATGAGGTCTTTCACTGATTCCCTCTGCTTCTCCAGCTCAGTTTGAGAATCTTCCAGGATGTTAAGAATGTCTTCCTTCTCTTTCATCAGCTTCTGCAGCTCATTCTTCTCCTTGGAGTCCAGGAATTCCCACAGTCCTTTAAACTCCTTCTGAACGTTTTCTACCTCACTCTGTATTTCGTTCTTCAGGGATTAAAAAAAGGGGGATTTATTCAGACTGTCCTAATGGGACAGAGAGACAGAAGAAAATTTGTTCTGATGGGGAGTTCATGGGAAATGAGCCTGGGTTGGGAAGGGAGTCTTAGGGAAGCATGTGTCTCTTTTCAGTATCTGTTCATGACATTTCAAAACAAAGATATTAGGTCACCTTTACCATAGTCATTTGAACCAAATTGGGATTCAAGGCTGTGGTTCAGTTTTCACACACATTTCCCTGATCCCTATTCCTGTCTGTATACTCCTCATTGTACCTCCAAGATAACCCCAAGAATAAAATTGTGACTGTTCCCAAGCATCGTCCCAATGGTCAGAGTTCCAGAAAGCACCACAGGAGGAGTCCCGGGACTCAGTGCCATTCTCACCAGGCCCCTGCCATGGTGTCAGCTCCTCACACAGCCAGGCTCAGCTGTGATGCCCTCTCTGTGCAGCCCCAGCTCCAAGGAAACAGGCAGAGAGGACTAATCAAGGCCTCTTGTCCCCATCAGCCTCCAGGGAATGAAGAGCCAGGGAGCTTCTTGTCCAGGTCCCTCCCCAGTCATCAGGCTAACTCCCTTAGGAGGTAGGGTCCCCACTTGCCTCCCAGGAAGTTCTCTCCTTTTGAAGGTCATCTTCCCACTGGTCACATCTTTTCTCATTAGCCATCTGCATCTCCAGGGCAGCCTGGAGCATTCCCTGTGGGAGAGGAAGTGTAGCAGAGTCAAACTGTGTGCTGAGTAGGACAGCTGCTCCTAGCCAAAGGCCAAGAAACCTTTCTGGAAAGACAGGAGGTCTAAGACTGTTCTCTTTTTAATATCTTGTGCCATGATTTGTGAACATAAAGTATGTAATCTTCATCTTTAGCTCAATCAGTTTTTACATTTACACACACAATCCCCAAACAGACAAAGACACAGAAATATGTCTCACTCAGTCATCCCTCCAAGTACAAACTGGTTTCTTTGATTCTGTTATCAATAAACTGGAATAATTTTGTTATGTTTTCTGGTCTTTCCTATAACTTTCCTATAAATTGGATCTTACTATGTTGGTGCGGGAGAATTGTCTGTGTTCTGTCAATCATGTTTTAAGTAAATGCTGATTGGCCTGGCAAGAAGTATAGGCAGGAAAACCAGACAGGAAGTAGAGGTGATGCAATGAGAACGGGAGAATTCTGGGAAAGAGGAAGCTGATTCCTCCCAGTCCTACGCAGACTACCAAGGAAGCATGATGTGACCTGCCAACTGAAAAAGGTACCGAGCCATAGGGCTAAAATACATCAGAATATTGGGTTAATATAAGTTATTAGAGCTAATAAGAAGCCTGAGCTAATGGGCCAATCAGTTTTATAACTTATAGCAATCTCTGTGTGATTTTCTTTGGGGCTTGCCGGCTGTGGGGTACCAGGCAGGACAGAAACCCCAACAAGCCAGTCCATCATATTATACTATATAGCCCTGGATGTCCTGGAATTTTTGTGTAGACCTGTATAACCTCGAACTCATCACTTGTCAGAGTTCTGGGACTAAGCCAAGCCCCACCATACTGGTCACATGCACTTTCTTTTGTCATTTTATTTTCTTTTTATGAACTGTAGTTTTTTCTGCATTTAATAATTTTTCTTCACTGAACTTTTTTTCATAAGATATATTTTGTTTACAGATTGCCTAGCCTGTACACCTCCCAGTTTCTTTCTACCTCCTCTCCCATTTAGATCCATACCCTGTATGTCTCTTGCTAAAACAGAAACAGTCATCTAAGGAATAATAAGGGAATAAAAACACATACAATAAGAAATACTTTGGAATTTGACAAAACAAACAAAGTAGAAAAAGAGCAAAATGAAAAACATAAGAAATGCATATGGATGCAGAGACACACAGGTTTCCAACACATGGGAATCCCATAAAAACCCAAGCTCTATCATAAAAACAAAGGAATTGTAGAGTAGGAAAAGCAAAAAACAAAACAAACAAAATACCAAAAATCCCCCCAAACAAAAAAAAAACCCTAAGAACAACAATAATAACAACAACAACATAAACATAGCAACAAAACGAAACACCCCAGTATTGTTTGACATCCATCAATCGTAGATGCCTAAGTAGAAAGAGAAGGTCACTAATACGCTAAGTCTACATTTTCCAAAGTAGCAGAGAGGTGTGTTGAGTCTCTTGGAATGGACTGACACCCAGGTAGCTCACTTAAGTTACTTTATTCAAACATATGCAAGGTTAATAGGGCTGGGAATTAATGAAGTTATCTTGCTCTTGCTACCTTTGATTTGTAGTAAGAAGAGCCTCTTGTTCATTTCCCGGCTGAGCAGCAGCTTTGACCCAAAATAATCACACAGAAAATATATCATTTAGATTACTGCTTAGCCCATTAGCTCTAGCTTCTTATTGGCTAACTCTTACATATTAATTTAACCCATCTCCATTAATCTGTGCATCACCATGAGGTCATGGCCTACCAGCAAAGTTTCAGCGCATCTGTCTCCAGTGGCAGCTCCATGACTTCTCCCTCACTCTGCCTTCTTCCTGTCAGCATTCAGTTTAGTTTTCCCTTGCCTAGCTAAGTTCTGCACTGCTATAGGTCCAAAGAAGTTTCTTTATTCATTAATGGTAATCACAGCAAACAGAGGGAAATCCCACATCAGAAAGGAGATATCCTACACAAATCTTAGCTTTGTGTGACAATGGCTAGCAATAATCAAAACTAAGACCTCCAGTTCTTCCAGAAGGGTTTTAGGACCGAGTTTGGTGCAGCTGCAAACTCTCATGTAATACCAAGTGTAGATTCCCCAGACAACATTCTTCAAGATTTAAAGACTCTCAGAGCAATTTTTCGGCCTCTTCTGATGAACACAAACATACCAAAGGCTTTCATGAAACATTTCACTCAAAGTCAGACATAAAGGCTTAACTGTACATATCACCACAGTCCAGACTTAACATTATGGGAGAAAGAACCTCCAAATATGGGTTCCCTTAATGTTGTTCAGTCATCAGTCTACTGCTGAGAAGGGGAGCTATAAAAATAGTTCATTTCCCCTTTGATATCCCATTCGAGAAAAGTAAGTTTTCATTTACAAGTAACTGTCAATTGGAGATTGCTTCTGGGTTAGGGATGGGTCATGTGTCCACTTCTCCCACCTTGAGAATTCAATCTGGTGCAAACCCTTGCAGGCCTGGTGCATGTTGCAACAGTCTCTGGTTTGGGACAAATGTCTATATTCTGGGATTCAACTACTGCAGGAACTGGGCAGGACAGAAACCCCTCCAACAAATGGCACCAACGTTTGGATGCCTATATCCACATAAAGCTTGACAGAGCTTGGGAAGTAAGTTTAGACAGAAAAGAATAGAGTTAAGCATGGCTTATTGATAGCAGCATTTTCTCAAGTGGGCTCTGCTTGCTAGAGGCAATCATTTAAGAGAGGCTTCCTGACTCAGCTTTATCTGCAAAACCCTGCAGCTCGTTAAGAGATCCTGCCACGAAACACTTAAGCAGTATTGATGAAAAGATGAGTGCATGCTTTTTGGTTTCCATCGTAGCAAGAAAAAGAAACATGCTATTTTAAAATGCCATCTTTTTGGGCTGTTCTGCCAGGACAAACTCTGATTCTTTCAGGAAGGTGGTCCAACTATGGAGCATTTGAGTGTGGTATGTGAGCACACTGCTGAAGTTTGCTTGCTGGCAGGGACCTTGAAATGCCATAGAGTTGTGGCAATAAATGTGGTTACACCCGGTATGTCTGCCATGAGACTGGAGTCTCAGAAAGCTAAGAAATGGGCTGGATCCAGCCATCAAAGCCACGGCTTTAATCTTACCCATATTGCTTAGCAAATTAAAGACTCATAATGGTCAGAAAAATAGAGAGATATACAGTAAAGATAGATTCAAAGACAAAAAAAAACCTCTAAATGGTTTACTGTGTTTAAAAAATATATGTAGGCTTGGGAGAAAAAAGAAATAAAAGAGAGTAGTTGGGTGTGGTGGCACACACATTTAATCCCAACATTTCGGAGACAGAGGCAGGCAGACCTCTATGAGTTCAAGGTGTTGTGGCACACACCTTTAATACCAGAACTTGGGAGGCAGAGACAGACAGATGTCTGTGAACTTAAGGTGTGTGACATACACTGTTACAAGGAGTGGGGCCCCTTGTTTATCCCTGCTGCCCAGCTAGCTTAGTTCCTGAAATAACCACATAGAAACTGTATTCAATAAAACAGTGCTTGGCCCATTAGCTCTAGTTTCTGATTGGCTAGCTCTTACATCTTAATTTAATCCATTTGTATTCATCTGTGTATCGCCAAATGACTGTGGCTTACCAGCAAGATTCTAACCAGCATCGGTCTCAGGCAGGAGATCCATGGTGTCTCTCACTCTGCTCTTTTTCCCAGCATTTAGTTCTGTTTTCTCAGCCTACGTATGTTCTGCCCTATCAGGCCCAAAGCAGTTTCTTTATTCATTAAGCAATGAAAGCAAGACATGAACAGAAGAACCTCCTACACCAACACACCTTTAATCCCAGGTTTAATTTGGGAGGCAGAGGCAGGCAGATCTCTGTGAGGTCAAGGACAGCCTGGTCTACAGAGTAAATTCCAGGACAAAGATACACAAAGAACCTGTCTCAAGAAGCCAAAATTTAAAAATAAAAATAAAAGAAATAGAGGTTACAATAAAGTCACATAAAGTTAAAAAATACACAGAGAGTCTGGATACTGTATGTTATTATGTTCTCTTTGAATTGTTTGAATACTGAGGAAAGCTCAATAGCTGCTAAAAGATATTTATTTATAAATGCTGCTGAATTAATCCTAGATAGATATTTTAAAAATACCTTAATGTCAAAATTGAAGTCAAAGGGTATGTTACTTTGGAGAAGAGGATTTACTTTTGTTTTCACAGGATATGAGATGCTATGGATTCATTCTGAGTTAAGAAAAATCAAGTTTGATCAGGGAAGACCACCTGAGAAATCTCAGGCAGGAACTGATAGCCCAGATGTCAGAGTTCTACATCCAGACCAAATTCAAGATGCTGCTTGAGATGATCAAGCCTCACAGGATACTCCAGTCAGGACTTGATCAGAATTCTAAATTTTCTTTAGGTCACCATAAGATTATCAGCACCCCCAACCAGCAGGAAGTAGCCTGGAAAACTTTGCCCACATTCCCAAAAAATGGACTATGGTCAGGAAAAAAGCTAAACAAAGATAGTTAGATTCAGAGGTCTTTTTTTTAAGAAAAGGGGAAATGATGTGGGACAAATGTGAATTTGTCAATTATATTCTGTCAATTATATTTTAAATAAATGCTGATTGTCCAGTAGCCAGGCAGAAAGTATAGGCAGGACAATCAGACAGAAAGTAGAGGTGGGTCAATGAGAACAGGAGAATTTTGGGAGGAAGGAAGCCCATTTCTTGACAGTCCTGTCCTAGCCACAGAAGAAGCAAGATGTGACTGCCTCACTGAAAAAGGCACTGAGCCATGTGGCTAACATAGACAAAAATAATGGGCTAACATATGTTATAAGAGTTAATATGAAGCCTGACTAATGGGCCATTCAGTTTATAACTAATGTAGACCCCTGTGTGATTTCTTTGGGACTTAATGACTGTGGGAACTGAGAGGACAGAAAACTCAGTCAACAAGTCTCTATGAGTTTACATGTGGGCTCAACCCCCCTCCCCCCAAAAAAAAACCAAAAAACAAATAAACAAAAAACAATCCAGAAAGTAAAGACCCAACACAGAACTTGCCTCTGTGCATCTCACTATGGAATTCTATCTCCTTTTCTCAGATGTTTCAAATGCCACACACACATTCTCTTCACTGCTGTATGTCAATCATTTACTAGCCCCATGGTTAACTGAATCTGACATAATAATGAAGGACGATAAATATGGAACAAATTACCTGTTCTACTATAGGCTTTTCTTGATCACTGACTCAAATTCATAGGAACAGTTCCAAAACGTTTTTTCCGTCTTAATATTTGTACTCCAGGTTGATTCTTATATGATTAAGAGGAATAAACCATCAGGTCCTTTTAGGACTCTAAAGGTAGGAAAGGACGGAATGATGTAACAACCCCAGAGTCTATGATGTCCAGGTAATTGACCTGTCACACCAAGTGCAGATTTCCCATCTGTTACTGTCTGCAGCTCTGTGTTCCACACCCTTCCACTTCCTACCTTGTACTTAATGGCCACCTCTTCAATGAGAGCTGTTTGGTGACCTCGGTGTTCCTGAGATCTCTCACAAAGCCAGCAGATGGCCACCATGTCCTTCTCACAGAAAAGCTGGAGTTTCTCTCCATGTTGTGCACAGACATTGACCTTCTGTTCCTCCTCTGGGCTGGACTTGAACTCCTTGAGCCTCTCCACTATGTTGGCCACATGTCGAATAGGCCTCAGATTCCCAAACAGGTAACTCACTCGGCACACAGGACAGATGCCTTCCCCTTCTTTGCCTTTGCTGGACTCATAGTTCAGAGTGATGCAGGCTTGGCAGAAGATGTGACCACAATCGGCATTCACAGGTTCTTTCAGAAGCTCTAGGCAGATAGGACAGGTCACCTCCTCCTTGATCATCCCCAGGACTGATGAGGCCATTGTTGCTGTGATGCTGAGTCTGTCTGTCCGTACTTATGACACTTCTGCTCAGGTATCTGAGTGACTGGGATGATGAGAAGGGGGGCAAGTGAGAGGCTAAATCAGCACTGAACCATGAAGAGATCAATGAATGCCTTTGATGATAAGGGACAAAACCAAAGGAGAGAAATATGGAGAGAAGTTCAGTGACATGCAAAGAAGCATGTTGTCATCCTTTTCAGTCCTCTGCTATATTTCATCACAAATGACAAATTTCAGATGCAGGATTGCTATTTCCTTTCACTGAAGAGCAGGAAGAATGTGGTTCCTCCCAATGGCCTCCTTTAACCAACAACAAAATCACATCTTCAGTGTTATAAGCATCAAACTATTCACTTCTACCACCACTGTACTTCCTCCTTCATCAGCACCAGTCAGTGTGACCCTCTGATCCTCTCCTTACAAGTCTCTTACCAGAGAGGCAGGTGCTGACCTGGGGTGTACACAGTCCATCTCCTCATGCACATAGGCTACAACTTTTCTTATTGTTTAAGTGTGTATTACTCTGTAGAAGATCCTAGATCAGTTCCTGTCATTCACATGAAGTAGCTCATAGCTGCCTGTAAATTCAGAAATCTGCCAGCAGTGACCACTCCAAACATCCTTTCAAATGTGTATACACACAGGGAGACCCACAAATATGCAATTCAAAGCAAAATGAAGCGGTGTTTACTTGTTTTGTGTTTTTTTCTTTTCATTTCTTCTTTTTAGTAGTGTTTGGATTTTACCCTAGGTTTCTGGGCTATGTAGTCTCTGGTTCATGCTCAAGCAATGTCTGGTATGGGTTCATTTTCCTGGTGCAGGCCTTACGTCAAATCCGACCTTGATTGACTACTGCCACCAGTTCTGTGCCACCACTGCGCTAGCATATTTCATAGGCAGGACAGACTGTAGGTAAAGGCTTTGTGTTTTGGTTGGTGTTTGCATTTCTTTTGGTAGCCTGCAGAGGACCTTCCTTCGCCAGAGAGACTAGAATGCAGAGGTGAAGACTCCATGTAGGCACCAGCTCAACTTCTTCATGTTCAGTGAATTCTGTGGGTGTTTTCCTCGGCAACGAGATTCCACTGTCATTATCTAGAGGGCAACCCTTTGTCTTATAAAGCATGATTAATTAAAAACTCAGAGACAAATACTGAGGTTCAATCTGAAGATGAGAAAAGCAAAACAGCCAGTGACTGGTTCTTACCTCTGTCTTAGTCTAAAATGGTGATCCTGCCTCTAGGGACCTCAGGATGAGCCTGAGCCTGAGCTATCACCTCCTGTTTTTTAATCCTCTTTAATTCTGGGTTTACAGGCAAGCACAACTATTGCCTGGTTTCTATGGCAAACTAGTGTGGCTACTGGGATTAAAGGTGTGTGTCATTGTTGCTTGGTGTGTAAGGCTGACCAGTGGGGCTGTTTTAGTCTCTGATTTTCAGGCAAGGTTTAGTTATTAAAATACAAATCAAATCCATTACAGTCTTTTCAACAGCTTCGATTGTTTGGGGTTTTCTGTCTGATCCTCTTGGCCAACAATTCTATTGAATGCAACCAAGTCCCACTACTGGAAGCCTTGTTTGGTGACAAAGGATTACCTGTTGGGACTCCATATCCTCCATTAGTAGGGGACCTCATTAGGATTTCTTAATTTATTTAAGGACATTTCCATTGCACTAGGTTGCTATATCATCCTTCAAATGCTCCCCCTTTCAGCAAAATAAATCTTTTTAAAAGAGACAACAAGGAATGAAAATTAGATTTGTTCAGTTCAAACAATATGGCTACAGACAGATTGTTTGTTTTGAGATTGGGGGATGTGATGAATAAGGAAAACTCCATTTTGTGTAGACATCCATTCTATATTCCTAAAAGAGAAGCTCCTGGCTACTCTCACTCCTTGCTACCCTCTCCCAATTTATAAAAGTGCTGTTAGATAATTAACTACTTCAGCAGGCTTTGGAAACCCACTTACTTCTGTGTGAGAGATCTCCTCACAGCTGAGGAAGTACAAGCAGTTTCTCACTCATCTATACATTCCACACAAATGAGATAGTTGGCTGCTCACCTTGAAACACCACTACTCCAGCCTCTTATGTGTGACAAGCCTTTGATTTGTCCTTTAGGCTGTTGTTGACCTACTAGCAGCAATTAATAAATCCAGTTAATTGTAATTTAAGTTGAGTCTGTTGTCTTTTCCTGGTGGATTTGAAGTCGTGAACAAGTAAAACAGTTTCTTTATTTATTCATTTTTTATTGCTTTTACATCCCGTCCACAATTTTCCCTCCGTTCTCTCCTCCTAGTCTTACTCCTAAACTCTCCCTTCCTCCTTTCCATCAACTCTTTCTCCCATTGTGTTCAGAAAAGAGCAGGCCTCCCATGGATGTCAAACAGCCATGGCCTATCAAGTTGCAGGTAAAAGCATTTTTTTTTATGAACGATGAAACTTCAAAGTACTGAGATAATATGAGAAATGTTACTTTTTGTCATTAAAAGAACAAATAATCCAATAAAAAAAGTGGATACAGACCTAAACAGAGAACTCTCAACAGAGAAATCTAAAATGGGTGAAAGACACTTAGGAAATGTTCAACATCCTTCGTCATGAGAGAAATGCAAATCAAAACAATTCTGAGATTCCATCTTATACCTGTAAGAGTGGCCAAGATCAAAAACCCTGATGACAACTTATGCTGGAGAGGTTGTGGGGAAAAGGGAACACTTCTCCATTGCTGGTGGGAATACAAGCTGGTACAGCTCCTTTGGTATCAGTATGGCAAGTTCTTAGAAAATTAGGAAACAACTTTCCTCAAGACCCAGCAAGACCACTTTTGGGTATATATCCAAAGGATGCTCAATTTTGCCACAAGGACATGGGCTCAACTATGTTTTAAGTAGCATTGTTTGTCATAACCAGAACCTGGAAACAACCTAAATGTCCCTCGACTGAAGAATGGACACGGAAAGTGTGGTATATTTATACAATGGAGTACTACACAGCAGAAATAATAATGACATCTTGAAATTTGCAGGCAAATGGGTGGATCTAAAACACATCACATTGAGTGAGGTAACCCAGACACAGAAATACAACAATTATCATATGTACTCACTCATAAGTGGTTTTTAAACATAAAGCAAAGAAAATCAGCCTATAAATCACAATCCTAGAGAACGTAGCCAACAATGAGGATCCTAAGAGACATAAATATATAATACATCTTAATGTGTACTCCCTAGAATTTGACAAATTTAAAACCTGGAGAATTCTAATGTGTGCATTGTAATATCCCGTATCATATGGCAGTAAAGAGAGTCGATGCCTAAGATCAGGCGGGAGGTCTCCACAACTGATGAAGGGCAGGAGAGGGCAAAGGGAAAGAGGATGGGCTCATGACAGTCCTCCAAGTCAGCCTGGACACAGAGGGCCTGGCCCGTGTCCTCTGCTGTCTGCATTAGCTTGGGTGGAGCTGGATTCCCTGTCCTTTCTTGGCTGTGAAAATCTTCCCAACAGCAGACACCTTCCAGTCTTTATAGCATTAAAATCAGTCAGGAGCTTCTGCTCTCCCTGGAAAAGTAGAAAAGTCCTGGGGCTGCAGTGTTCACCTGTAACCCCAGGTGTACAGCCCTCTACAAACTGAGAGTCAGCTCTGTTAACCAAGGATCAGCTTTTAGATACTCCGTCCCCCTGCTCCTGGCCATTTCTGTCCAGAATTTGATGCGAGCTGAATTAACTTTTATATGATGGGATGTAGATGACTTTTGACTTTTTGGTTTTATGTTGTCCCATACTTTTCCCTGTTATGTGAAGCTGGCAGTGTCAGGGGAGGTGCTGAGCCTTGATAAACACTGTTAGCGAGTGTCAGGGAAAAACAAGGAACTAAGTACAAACACTAGTTTAACTAAAAAACTCTGCTGATGGAAATTGCAGAGAAGGGCAATTTGTATCTGAGTTTTATCTTGAGATTCTAAAAATCTTTTTGTTATTGCCTAATGCTTGCTATAAAATGAAGAGTTCAAAAACCGGCCTTTGTTACAGTCTTACAAAATCCATTTCTGGCTGTGGTCTCAGCTAGCTGATCAACTTTCTGTGCCCCATAGTGATTTTTCATTTTATTTTTTTAAATTATTTCCTGGAATCTGGTTTCTGGAATAAAATTTGCTTCTGGTTTATTAGACTTGATGATCTGTCCCCATCTTTGTGTGACCCCTGTGGACCCAGTACTATATTAAGGTATCATGTTCCAAAGGAAAAAAAAAGGCTGAGATTTCAGTAAATGTGTGATTCCAGTTTTCTCACCCAATACTTTTCTTCTCCTGTCAACTTCTTCTTTGTCTGTTTCCTTGGGATCGAATCCTGGGCCTAGCATAAACTTGTAAGTATCTGCCAACTCACTAACTGCAACAACACCGCTGGGCCTTCCTTCCTTCCTTTCTCCCTTCCTACTTCCCTCCCGTCCTTCCTTCCTTTTATACTTGGTCTTTTGGGTCCCAAGGGATGCCTTGGACTTTGGAACTTACTGCATTAGATTTCTGTGTTGCTAGAATTACTAGCTTGGGCTGAATTTCATTTAGGCATGGCAGACATGGACCAAGGGAAAGGCAGGCAAGGGTAAAGACCCTTAAGTAACATCAGTAATTCTCTACAGACTTGAGGCTTTAAACAGTACAAGTGAATGTACAAGAAGCTCCAGAAAGATTGGAACTTCTAATATAGACACATAAGCAAAGGGAATGATACCATAGAACCTTCGGCAAATACACTATTATACAGCAAGACCTTCAATTTCGTATTCAGACACCACTCTGACTTTAATCCTATCTTGCAGCAGAGGTTTCCTGAGAGACTCAATAGTAATCACTACAAAGAAGAGAGTGAACTGCATCTGGAGAAACAACTAGATATCTGTGCTATTTGAAAGTTTTCTTCCTCAAGGCTTCTCCTCTTGCTTGCTCCTCATCACCCTCCCCACCCCTGTACTCAGCGGGGAACCAACAGTTCCTCTTTTCTGGCCC